AATTACTAGTTAAACTAAGAGAGGACATACATAGACAGCCATACAATTATAGTTGGAAACGTTAATATCAAGGCAAAAAAAAAAAAGAAAATCAAAAGCAAAACAAGAAATTAACTTTTACTCAGCACTCAACCAGTTGGATCCAGTAGACACCTACAGAACATTTCACTCAATAGCCACAGAATATACATTCTTTTCATCAGTACATGAGACATAATCCAAGATAGACCTCATACTGAAATGTGTATCAAGTTTGAACAAATTTCGAAAGATTGAAATTATACCAATTATTTTCTCAAAACACAATAAAATAAAAATAAATATAATCATCAGCAGGAACCCCTCACAACACACAAATAAATGGAAATTAAACAATATGTTTCTCAATGACTGACACAGAATTCAAGGCAGAAATAAAAAGATTCCTAGAAATATATAAAAACAAAGACACAGCATACCAAAATTTCTAGGAAACCATGAAAGCTATGCTGAGAAGGAAGTTTATAATATTACATGCACATATTAAGACAACAGAGGGATATCAATTAATAAACCAAACATCACACCTAAGGAGCTGGAAAATCAAGGGCAATCCATTCCAGAATTAGCATAAAAATATAAATTATTTTTTTAAATTACAGCTAAATTAAATAGCACCCTCCCCAAATCTACAAATGATCAATGAGACAAAAGTTGGTTCTTTGAAAGGGTAAATAAGATTGACAGACCCCTGACTAGATTAAAAAACAAACAAGTAAACAAACAACAAAACAAACAAAGAGAAAGAGAGCATTTGAATAAACACAATTAGAAACAAACAATAGCAACAAAACAAGCAAAAAAGGTGAGGTTGCAACTGGCCCTGAAGAGATACAAAAGATTATCAGAGATTTTGATGAACATCTGTATGTTAGTAAATTAGGAAATCCGGAGAAAATGGAGGAAATTCTGGTATCACATAACTTACCAAGATTAAAACAGGAAGAAATTGAAACCATAAACAGACAATAACAAGCCAAAAAATCAACTCAGTAATTGGAAACTTCCCTGCCAAAAAAAACCCATGGACCAGATGGTGTCTCATCTGAATCTTACAAGATGTCCGAGGAAGAGCTGGTACCAAATCTATTGAAAGTATTCTAATTGATCAAGAAGAAATGGGTTCTCTGTAGCTTATTCTATGAAGCCATTATTATTCTGATACCTGAAAATGGCAAAGATTCAACAAATAAATACAATTTTAGGTCAATTTCTCTGATAAACATAGATGCAAACATTCTCAACAAGATTCTAGCTAATAGCATCCAAGAACACAAATCAAGGATCATCCATCAGAACCAGATAGGCTTCATTCTCAGAATTCAAGACTGGTTCAACATATGCAGATTAACAAATGTAATCCACCACATTCATAGGTATAAAACCGAGAAATGCATGATTATCTCAATAGACACTGAAAAAGCATTTGATAAAATCCAAAATTCCTTCTTGATAAAAACTTCAAACACCTAAGCATTGAAAGAACATTCCGGCCATTGCCTTACTAGACTCTGGTGTGGCCATGTGCTCTTTGAGCTATGGTTGTTGCCATGTTTCCCGGCTTTGACCCCCTCTCCTACCTTGGGGAGGTGAATCTCCTCTCTCTCTCTCTCTCATTTACTTTCTAAATAAACTATATTTTCTAATCTTAAAAAAATGCCCCAAAATAATAAGAGTTATTTATGAAAAACTTTCAGCCAACATCATATTTCATAGGCAGAAACTGGAAGCATTTTCCCTAAGAACTGAAATGAGACAAGGATGCCTACTCTCACCATTCTTATTTAACATGATACTGGAAGTCCTAACCAGAACAATCAGGCAGAGGAAAGAAATTAGAAGTATCCAACAGGAAAAGGGGAAGTTAAATTATCCCTCTTTGCTGCTGATATGATTCCATATCTAGAAAACCCTAGAGGCTGTCAAAAACTTTGCACTAATAACTTTTTTAAGTTGTCAAAGTTTATTGGAGAAAGAAGAGAGAAAAGAAAAGGGAGTCATGACACAGCTGGCACAGAAGAAGGAAATTGCCTGATAAACATCTTTGTTAAATTCTTGGAATACAAAATCAGTGTGTTAAAAAAAATGTGCACTTTTATATACCAGCAACAAGCAGGTTGAGAACCAAGTAAGAAAAACAGTTTCATTCACAACAGCCACAAACAAACAATAACAACAACAAAATATACCTTAGCATCCAACTAACCAAAGAGATGAAAAGCCCTTAACAATAAGAACTACAAAACACAGTTCAAAAAAAAAAAAAAAATCAAGGACAGTAGAAACAAATGGAAGAACATCCTATGCATGTGGATTGGAAGAATACATATAATCAAAGTGTCCATTCTATCCAAAGGAATCTATAGATTCAATGGAATCACTACCAAATTACCAGCATTGTTTTTAACAGAACTATAAAAAACAATAGAGAAACTCAAATGGAAAACAACAACAACAACAAAAAAACTCAAACAGCTAAAGCGATCTTCAGCAAAATGAACAAAGCTGGAGGCATCACACTCTCAGACTTCAAATTTTACTACAAGTCTACAGTAACCAAGACAGCAAAATTCCAGCACAAAAATAAACACATAGACCAAGGGAACAAGACAGAGGGCACAGAAATAAAAATCACAGATCTTCAACCAACTCCTCTTTGACAAAGCCAAAATAAAACAACAACAACAACAACAACAAAAATCAGAGAAAGGAAACCATATTTAGCAAATGGTGTTGGGAAAGCTGTCTAACTACATGCAGAGGAATGAAACTGGACCTCTACCTATCAGCATATAAAAAAATTATTTCAAGATGATCAAGGACTTAAGTGAAAAAAACTCAAGTTATAAGAATCTTAGAAGAAAACTTAGGGAACACCTTCCTGGACATTGGCCTAGGCAATTAATTAATTGTCAAGTTCTCAAAAGCAAATGTAGCAAATTCTAAAATTGATAGGTGGAGCCTTATCAAGCTAAAAAGTTTCTGCACTGTGAAAGAAACCATCAAGAGAGAAAAGAGACATCCAACAGAATGGGACAGAATATTTGCAACCTATACATCTGACAAAGTCCTAACACCCAGGATCCAAGAACAACTCAAACAAATGGACAGAAACACACACACACACACACACACACCAACAAACCATTAAAAAGTGGGCAAAATATATGAACAGACACTTCTCAAAGGAAGACATGTAAGCAGCCAACAAACATGAAAAAATGCTCAGCTTTATTAATCATTAGAAAAGTGCAAATCAAAAGTACAATGAAATACCACTCATCATCAATCAGGATAGCTATCATTAAAAACTCCAAAAAAAGAAAAAGAAAAAAACAGGAGTTGGTGAGGCTGCAGAGAAAAAAAGGGCACACTTCTACACTATTGATGGGAATGTAAGCTGGTTCAACCTTTGTGGAAAGCAGTGTGACTTTTTCTCAAAGAACTAAAAATTGAACTACCATTTGACCTGGCAATTTCACTTCTGGGAATATACTCAGAGGAGCATAAATTTCTCTACCGAAAAGACACTTGCACATGTATGTTCATTGCAGCTCTACTCACAGTATCAGAAACACGGAATCAGTCCAGATACCCATTGAAAGTAAACTGGAAAAAAAGGTAGTACATATATATGAAGGAATACTATGCAACCAAAAATAAGAAAAAAAGAAAAAGAAACCAAACAAACAATGTTTTCTGCAGCATAATAGATGTAGCTGGAAACAACACCCCTATGTTAACTGTTACAGAAGCAAAAAATTGGATACCTCATGTTCTCACACATAGGTGAATCCTAAATATTAGGTATGTGAGCACAAAGATGGGAACAACAAATGTCGGGCACTGCTAAAGGAGGGTGGAGAATAAGGAACACACAACTACCCATTGAGTACGATATCCACCACCAGGAAGAGAGAGAACTCACTAGAAGCCTGAACATCATCTTTATGCAATCTACTTAAACAGCAAATCCTCACATATATGTCACAGCAATAAAATAAATGAACAACAACAAAAATTGCCTTTTCTCTAATTTCTGAGAACATATTCCTCATTTTCATCAGACCTCAACAGAGTACTTTTAACATTTAAAGTATTTTAACTATTTTTCTACCAACATTGTATTCATGATAACAATTTTATCACAAGATAATAGAAACTTGGTTTAAAACTATTCTTTTTTTCCCCTCCCTTTGGCCTTATCAGAATCAGCAATAGCACCTGTATATCTACTCTCCATCATTTTAAGGCAACCTAGACTTTTTTCTAACGTGCACCTAAAAATTCTTCATCCTTTATCCATTATTCAGTTACATAGTATGTCTGCATTTTTAGGTATTGGTAACAAAAGCAACCCATTCTTAATATCAGAATCTTCATTAATTAACTAGGTTGTCATAACAAAGTTCCACAGACTAGATGACTTAAACAACAGAGATTTATTTTCTCACATATCTGGAACCTTGAAATTCATAATCTGCGTGTCATCTGCATTGGTTTTTCTGAGACTTTCTTTTTCTCTTATAGGTAACTGTCTTTTGTTATACCTTCAAATGGTCTGTGTATTTGTGTACTAATTTTCTATTTTATAGGAGTATTAATTATATTGTATCAGAGTCCATCCTAATGACCCAGTTTAAACTTAATTACCTATTTAAAGATCTTATCAACCAATACAGTCATATTCTGAAGTAGTGGGGCCTAGGAATTCTATTTATGAATTTTGGGAGAACAAAGGTAACTAATTATAGAAGTATTCTGTCCTTTTCAAGTAGATTTTAAGTTAATTGAGAACAGGGGTTATCTCACACAGTTGTTTTATCCTTGTCATCCCTCTTTCTTGAACTAATAGCTAATTAATGTACACATATTGATACTGATGACTTGGAGTGACATTTAACCCTTCTTTATTTTGTATAAATAGTTGTAATTTTGTAAACATTTATCTTTCAATTTAGTGGCCTTCGGTTCCTGGTATGACCACGTGAAGGGCTGGTGGGAGAAGAAGAAAGATTATCCTATCCTTTACCTATTTTATGAGGACATGAAAGAGGTAGGAAGCAACTGCAATTTCTTCACTTTTTATAGAAATTTTAATTTTATTTTCTTTGTATCATACTTTCCATTCCTCTTGGTATATACATGTGAATAATCTACTATGCTATCAATTATGCCTTGAGAATGGGTCTATAATGGGTCTCCAAGTAGATTGTGCCAATCACTTCTAGAACTATGCTCTCCCACTCTAGTTTAGGCATCTAACTTAACTTACTTGAACTATTTCATTTTGCTTCTACTATCCATCTAGAGATAGTGGTCTTTTTAAAATTTAAATAATAATATGTTCCAACTCCCTTCTTCACATATCTTAATGACTTCTGTCCCTACATGAAATATAAAGTAATGACGATAATTTTTAGAGTGACATTATTTAGTCCCTATGTATTTCTGTAATCTTCTCTTGTGCCACCTATGCCTTTCTCACTGAGTGAATCTACCTGAAAATATTTCTCAACTAATTCCAGATTAACCATTTCTCATTCTTAAGATCTTATCACTTGAATTTTGTGAGCCATACTGGCATTCAAAGCTGAAGTCTGTCACAGGTAAAACTATTACTATAGTCTACCTTGCCTCAATGTGCTCAGGCTACAGCAGCCCTGAAACTGCCTCATCTTTGTTTTTTGGATTTCTCTAAATTGCTTTACAGTGACTATGACTCCTCCTATCCCTCCCTAATTTGGGAAAACTGTTCTACATCTCAAGGGAAACTGTGTCACTTGGCTAAGATAACTGCCTCTAACAGGTTGCTAAGTCAAATTCTTAGGTTTTCTGCATCTATTTAAACCATTTTGTACCAGTCACTCTAAATCATGGTGAAATATTACTATAGTTATGAGTTTAGAATCAACAATAAGTGTTTGGATAGGAGTCTTTAAGATGACAGCCATTATTTTTGGAAAAAACAACTTTTCTGCATTAGATCATTATAAGGTCTTCAAGCAAGATAATTTGGTCTCCTCAAATATGGGAGGGAAATCTATATCTACTGGAAGAAAAGGCTCAAAATTACACCAAGGTTTCATGAATCTCTATGTCATCAGATCACAAATATTGTTATTCTGAGTTTGCGCATTCTACCCTGTTTTCATCACTATTCTGTTTAACTTTCATATGATAGATTTGCCACAACTGTGACTTCAACTTCTATTGTGATTCTTCTACAAATTAAAGTTTGTGTTTAACTAACTTCAGCTCTGAGACTACAAGAAATAAAGTATTTTAGGGACAACAAAGAACCTCTCAGGGCCAGGCGTGGTGGCTCAAGCCTGCAATCCTTGCACTTTGAGAGGCTGGGGTGAGAAGATTGCCTGAGCCCGCAAGTTCGAGACCAGCCTGGACAACATGGTGAGACTTTGTCTCTACAATAAATAAAAGATAAACCAGGTGTGGAAGTGCACACCTATAGTTCTGGCTACTTGGAAGGCTGAGGCAGAAGGATGGCCGGGGTCCAGCATGTCGATGCTGGGGTGACCATGATCATGCCACTGCACTCCAGCCTGGAAAACGAGTGAGACTACAACTCAAAAAAATAAATAAATAAACTCTCAGGCTACATTTTAATAAATTGAGATGGGTCATGCAGGAAAACGAAATCTCAGTTTGTCTTTCTGCCTGATGTTAGCCGAGTCACTAAGATTACTGCCCTCTAATTTTGTTTGGACCACTGAGAACACCTCCCTGATGGGTAATAAGGCACAAACACTTTAGCCTGAATGCTACCCTTTCATTGTATCTAACGCCTTCCTAAGCCCTGTGTGAAACAAGAGCAGGGAAATTATAAGAAATACAATTGAATTTCTCCTCTTCATTGTTGTCTTTATCCTCCCACCATTCCTTAGGTTGGAAAATGGACAAAATTATGTTTTACTTTCCTTCTCGTATATTCAAGCTATAAAAATATCTATGTAGGTTTTAGAGGTAGAAGAATAATCTTCTTTCCACTATAAGGTAGCTCATAAGATTGGTAATCCAATTTTGATTTTGGGAATGCTCTAAAAAAAATCAAGAAGTTTTGCAAGTTATACATAGCAACAATAGCAGCTTGCTCTATCACCATCTGTAATTCTGTAGGCGAAACATATTTTTTTGTTTTAAAATGTATTTTAAATGTATGTGTTTTATATAATTAACAAGATATTATGTCAAGAGAAACAGAATCCATAAGAGTGAAAAAATAAAGTTGCGCTTTTTTGCTAAATCTATTTTTGAATGTACAAAAATTGAATATAAACCCAATCTTTTTTGTTTCAGTTTTTGAAACAAATTTTAATCTCCCTTTTAGCAGATGGTTGCCTGGTATAATTAAAGACAGAATATATACTTGGAAAAGCAAAATGTTAAATGCACATAAAATTTTAAAATTATTGTATCCATTAGATTTTCATATGCAGAACCTTGATAAATGCGTTTTTGCTTCATGACCAAATGTATCTAAAATGGCTCTTTGTTTTTTCTAATTTCTTTAGAATCCAAAAGGTGGAATTCAGAAGCTGTTAAAGTTTCTAGAGAAAGACATTCCAGAAGAAATTGTGGATAAAATCCTATATCACAGCTCTTTTGATGTAATGAAGCAGAACACTAGTGCAAATTATACCACTTTGTCAAAAGAAGAAATGGACCATTCTGTGTCTCCCTTCATGAGAAAGGGTGAGGTTATCATATACCAGTTTCTGTACAGCTTGTTACTCTCATCATGAAGAATTTAGATGGTCTGATAAGACCAATATTGCAGGAAATGAAGAGAAATTGAGTATGCTGAGGAGAAAAAAATTTAAAAACTAAACTAAACACACATTTTAGGGGAAATAATCTGTTGCAAAGAAATTCTGTCTGTTGCAATTCGAACATGTAAAACAAAGCTTCTAATGGGAAATGTTTACTCAATAGGTTGTGTATCAGTAAGCATGAATATTGGCACCCATTGGTATATCAGAAGAATAAGTCTCATTTGTCTGAATAATCTAGATCTTTATCTTCCTTAAAAATTTTACTGTGGGCCAGGCCTGGTGACTCAGCCTATAATCCCAGCACTTTGGGAGGCCAAGGCTAGTGGATTGCCTGAGCCCATGGGTTGGAGACCAGCCCAGGCAACGTGATGAGACCTTCTCTCTACAATAATCAAAAATTAACCAGGCCTGGTAGCACGTGCCTGGCTACTTGGAAGACTGAGGCGGAAGGATCCCTGGAGCCCAGCAGGTCGACGTTGGGGTGGCTGTGAGCGTGCCATTGCACTCTAGTCTGGGCAACCGAGTGAGACTCCAACTCAAAAAGACAAAAAGAAAATGTACTGTGCTAGGTAGGTAGTGTAAATAATGACAGGCACACTAAATTGATGAAGGGGGTTTTAATTCCTTGAAGTTGTTGCTGTGACTGTAACCATTGCTTTCTCATTATTGAGCTCAATGTAAAGCAAACTGCACAAAATAGTTCTTCAATAAATACAGGTTAAATTGAATATTTAGTATGGGTGTGTGTGTGTGTATTAGACAGAGAGAGATAGAGATAGGAAGAAATAGAGAGAGAGAGAGAGAGAGAGAGAGAGAGAGAGAGGGAGAGACACACACACACAGAGAAATAATATGTTGTGTATGTATTGGTCAGATTTGCTTTAAAACAATAACCCTAAGAATCTCAGTTGCAGAAACTTACAAGATTACATTTTCCTTTAGGTAATCTGTTAGTGGATACTGGTCACCTGTGGCTGCTGCAGTTTTGTTTCGTTCTCTTGGGTTTAGCTTCTTTTGTTTTCTTTTTCTGAAACCCTGGCTGAAAGAGTGGTCCAAATTTGGGATATACCCAATGTCATCACAGAGATATAGAGCAAGAGAGCTGATGGAAATTTGCAATATATTTTAAAAGTTCCCTTCAGATGTGGTATATGTCATATGCATTCAAATTCCATTGGCCAGAGCATTTTAAAATATCCAAGTGCAAAGTTAAAGAGGAAAGGAGAAATTGCACAACACATGATGGTGAACAGAGATGTAAAATATTTTTACAGTAAGGGAGAGAGTAGATAATTACTAGCAATAAAAAAATTTTAAGACAGTGTTTGGGGGACAGAAAATATGGTGAGAGGCTATAAAGGGATGATTAAGGGTAATTTTAATTATAATATGTTTGTGTAGCTCCTAGAGGTTTTTTTTTATTTTTTTTTTAGAGAATTGGGAAGTATTTTATTGATAAATCTTGCTGGGAATATTTGCATCTCAACTAGGTATAATTTTATCTTCCTGGTGACTTTTGGCAGTATCTGGAGACATTTTTGATGGGCACAACTAGGAATCTATTGGCATCTAATAGGTAGAGCCTAAGGATGCTGCTAATCATCTTACAATGCACAGGATGGTCCTTCCTTCCACCAGCAAATAATTGTCTGGCTATAAATGTCAACCGTGGAGATATAAATAAATAAAACAAAGTGCCAAAGTTGAGAAATTCTGAGCCAGACTGACATAGTTATTTTGGCATATATATTTTGACTTTTATTTATTGCTAAAACTAGGCTTCCAAATATGTCTTTTGTATCACCCTGTAAGATAGTCCATGAAAATGACATTAAAACTCCCGGCACTTTGGGATTGCCTGAACCTGAGGGTTCGAGACCAGCCTGGGCAACTTGGCGAGACTTCGTCTCTACAATAAAAAATCAAAAATTAGCTGGACGCAGTAGTGTGCACCCGTAATTCTGGCTGCTTGGAAGGCTGAGGCAGAAGGATTGCAGGAACCTAGCACGTCAGGTTGATGCTGGGGTGGCCATGAATGTGCTACTGCACTCCAGGTGGGTGACAGAGAGAGACTCCAACTCAAGACAGAGAGAGACTCCAGTGTGGGTGACAGAGAGAGACTCCAATAAAATAAAATAAAATGGCATTAAAACAAACATACCGATATTTATGGTAAATGCTGTATCCTATATGGTTCCTTCAAGGCTTTTTATATGTTTAATATTTTGAAGGCTGAGAAATCTGTGGTAAAGAAATATGCTTTTACAATTGAACCAGTCATTTCTAGTCTTATGTGACCATAGAAGTTATTTTTCAGAAATTATCACTTGACATGGGAAAACAGCATTAAACCGAATAAAAAAACTATATCCTTTGTTCACAAAGCTGTTGTAGTCAAAGAATCAAGTTTTTTTTTTTTTTTTTTTTTTGAGTAGGAGTCTCACTCTGTCTCCCAGGCTGTAGTGCAGTGGCATGCTCCCGGCCACCACAGTTTTGACCCACTGGGCTCAGATGATCTTTCTATTTCAGCCTTTCAAGTAACTGGAACCACAGGTGCACATCACTACACCCAGTTAATTTTTTTTTATTTATTTCAGAGATGAGGTCTCATCAAGTTGCCCAAACTGTTCTCGAACCCTTGGACTCAGGCAGTCCTCTTGCCTCCCCCTCCCAAAGTGCTGAGATTACAGGAGAGAGCCATCACACAGAGTTAGAATCAAGATTTTGAAATGCTAGTTTTCTCCCTAGTGACATTTTTATAAAGTACCTGTATTTAAAAGATTATCTCATTTTCTTTCTTTTATTTTTTGAGTTAGAATCTCACTCTGTCACTCAGGCTGGAGTGCAGTGGCACACTCACAGCCACCACAGCCTCGACCTGCTAGGCTCAGGTGAACCTTTTGCCTCAGCCTTCCAAGTAGCTGGAACCACAGGTATGTGCCACCATGCCCAGCTAATTTTTTAATTTATTATAGAGACGAGGTGTTGCCATGTTGCTCAGGCTGATTTGAAACCCCTGAGCTCAGGAAATCCTCTTGCCTCTGCCTCCCAAAGTGCTGGGATTATAGGCATGAGCCACCATGCTCGGCTCGTATTATTTCTTTTTTATTTATTTCTTTTTTCTTTTTTATTTTTTTGAGTTGGAGTCTCACTCTGTCGCCCAGACTGGAGTGCAGTGGCCGCTCCCGGCCACCGCAGCCTCGACCTGCTGGGCTCCGGCGATCCTCCGCCTCAGCCTTCCAAGTAGCCGGAACTACAGGTGTGCGCTACCATGCCCGGCTGATTTTTTGATTTATTGTAGAGATGAGGTCTCGCTGCCCAGGCGGGTCTCGAACCCGTGGGCTCAGGCAAACCACTCACCTCAGCCTCTCAAAGGCGCCGGATTACAGGCTGAGCCACCGAGTCCGGCTCGTATTATTTCTTTACATAAGATACTGAAATAGTCCATGGGAATAATTGGAAACCTAAGAAGGCCTAGGAGTTTGGGAGTGGAAGTAAGACTTTAGGATTAGAGTTATGGCACAGCTATGGCATCCTAAAGTTAAAGTTTAAAAAATAAAGGATTTAGTAGTTAGTATTAAAACTAGTTTTAGAAGGGAAATTTTACAGTAGTTTCAAATTTGTCATTTTATATTTTCTTTTCAGGTATTTCAGGAGACTGGAAGAATCATTTCACTGTAGCCCAGTATGAGAAATTTGAAGAAGATTATAAAGAGAAAATGAGAGGGTCCACACTGCAGTTTCGATCACAAATATAAGAAGTACCCATGCTTTCTCAATCTCCTTTTGCTATCATCTCATTTATGGGGGAAAAATACCCTTCAAATGTTTAATTAAAGAAAATTCAGAAATGATATTTCCTTATTTAGATTAGTGGTTTGTAAGAGAATAATCAATGTCAATATCTGTATGGGAAAAATCAATATTGTCTGTATAATTTGAATTACTTTCCACAATGTTTTTTTACTAGTCTTACAAATTAAAACATGAAATGAAATATACAACCTATACAGTTATCTGCTTTATTTTTTAAAATCAAGTTCTGAATTGTTAGACGTGCAAAGAAGATATTTTGAGGAGTTTTCAAAATGGACGGGTTATAAGCACAGAAAGGGAGTATTAATTTTTCTTTGTTATATGCTCAGACTAAAACCAGTGTAATAAAAGATCAACATTTTTATTCAAAGAGTTCATTGAAATTTTCTGCTCTAGAATGGTTTACTACAGATTAAATTTTGAATAGTTTATATTACATAGTGTTCCACTTTTATACTTTATGTGTTAATGATCTAAAATAATGCTGAGAGGCCAGGCTCGGTGGCTCAGCCTGCAATTCCAGCATTTTGGGAGGCAGAATGGAGTGGATTGCCTGAGCCAGCAGGTTCGAAACCAACCAGGGCAACTTGGCGAGACTTCGTCTCTGCAATAAAAAAAAGAAAAAAAATAGCTAGGCATGGTAGCGTACACCTGTAGTTCCGGCTACTTGGAAGACTGAGGTGGAAGAATCGCCGGAGCCAAGTAGGTCGACACGGGGGAGGCCATGAGCATGCCACTGCCCTCCAGCCTGAGCTACAAGAGTGAGACTCCACCTTAACATAAAATAAAATAAAATAAAATAAAATAACTCCAAGAAAGTGATTAAAAGCATGTTACCATAGTAACATAACATCTACTGTCAGAGAGAAAAATCAGTTAGCAGTTAATCATAATATCAAACTAATCAAAAGTTATTAAATAACTTCTGTGTATAAATAATGGGCCTTATAAATGAAAATAAAACGAGGATCCTGAATGAAAGAGCTAAGTCAAGTGAAAAATAAAAAAGCAATATTAGGACACTTTGCTCTTTCTGCTAGTTTTGCTGTGAACCTAAAACTGCTTATTTATTGTTAATATCAATCAGACAACTGAAAGCCACCTTTTGCCATAAACTCAACAATTTGAAAGAACATCTTTCAGGATAAATAAAAGTGTAATTTAAAAAAATTTCACAATTCTTTTAAGTACGTTTCCATGAGATAATAAAAAAAATTTGTGTTTAAAATATTTTTATGATTAATCTTCACATTTTTAAAGATTAAAATTTGCTCTTATTTAAGGGTCTTTTCTGCACCATTATGAAGTCAAAAAATTATAAATCAACTAATTGTAATTTGGGGACTCTCTGCTGTGTTTTGAATATTAAATGCATTTTCAGTTTACTATATTTTCAACTTATGATGAGTTTATTGGGACATAGCCCCATCTTAAGTAGAAGAGAATTTGTTATGCATAAACTATCTATCTGCACACATATATATTTATTGAAAAGTAAGTTAATATTTTCTTCTTGAATCACATTTTATTAACTTAGTTACTCCTTGGAGCACAAGCACACCCCTTTGAAGAGCAGTCCTATAAATTGCAGATAATGGTCTACTTGTTCTCTGCCTTCCAACAAGCTTTATCAACCAGTTTTCCCCTCACCTCTTTTACTACCATCAGAATATTATTTTCAAAGGCTTTACATTAAACTACTTTTCCATGACTAAGAGATTATGCTTAGCCATCATGCTCTTAGAATGCAGGTTTCTGATGGATGCTGTCTGTCTCCAGCATTTAGATTACCATGTAGGTAGAAATTACATATGACTAACTATTCAATTTAGTCTAATGCTGTGTTATACCTTAAGATATCATGAATTTGACACAAGCAATGTAATCAAGTTCATGATGTTGGAATACCTCATTTCTCCTTTATGGCTAGTTCAGAAATTACTAATTCTGTGGCATCTAGAACAAGAAAAGTTAGTGTTCTATCATATTTATTTTTCATGTCACATATTGAAGGTATTTTGGAATTTGAGTGTTGTAGTTGGTGATGTTTGTTCAAAATATTCCCAACAATGACCACACTTTTGTGCTTAATGTTAAGTCGGATTTGGATCATCTATGTCAGAATGTGTATGAGAAATCACATTTCAGCCAGATTTCTTCTCTTCACTTGGCTTCTGGTCCACTTTCTAGAGTGTTTGCTTTTGTATTTCTCCCTCTGGCATTAACCATTGCTAGTTGACCATTTTTTCCAAGATTCACTATTGAGGAATAAAAAGAAACAATCAACTGATACACAAAACAACTTGAATATTCAGAGAATTATTCTGAGTGAATAAGGCTAATTTCACACAGTAAAATATGGTATAATTCCATTTATAAACATTCTTGAAATGGAGAACTAATTAATTGTTGCCAGAATTTATGGAAAGGACAAGAGGAGTGTAGGTATAATTTAAAAAGGATAATCTGAAAGATATTGTAGTGATAGAAATAGTTTGTATATTAACTGTGTTAGTATGCTGGTTTCGATATTATACTATACTATTGCAAGATATTACCACAAGAGAAAATGGAGTAAAGGGCCTTTGGGATCTTTGTATAATTTCTTATAACTTAACATAAATCTACGTTATCTTAAAATTTTATAAAAGTTAAAAAAAAAACAACAATTTTCAGCCGATTATAGTAATTATAGCCAGAAATAAAACCTTTCCAAGGAAAATCAGTTATAGTGCAATTTAAGAGAGTTCTGAGCCTTGATAAAAGGACATGTTGAAGGGAAGGATTAAAGTGAAAGGCACCTGTGAGTTACTAGGTATTTGGCCAGCCGTGCACAGGTCTCACGTGGCTGTAAGCCCTAAGGATGAGATGAATATGCTCTTCTTCTTCTTTTTTTTTTTTTTGAGTTGGAGTCTCACTCTGTCGCCCAGACTGGAGGGCAGTGGCCGCTCCCAGTCACCACAGCCTCGACCTGCTGGGC